TCATAGCGCAAAGTGGCTCAGACCTCTAATCCCAGCTACTCTGGAGGTGGAGACCCGGAGGTTGGAGGTTCGAGGCCAGCCTGGGCAAAAATTTATTCAAGAGACCATGTTTCAACCAACAGCTGAGCATGGTGGTGCATGCCTGTCATTCCAGCAATGTGGCAAGCATAAATAGGACTGTGGTCCAGATCTGCCAGGAGAAAAAAGTGAGAGCCTAGCCTGAAAATAACCAAAGCAAGAGGTGTAGCTCAAGTGGCCCCAAGTTCAACTTCTCATACCACCACACACAGAAAAACAAAACAAAAACGAAACCTTGCATGTTAATGTACTCCTCTGCATCCCAGTTGGGGACCAGCCCTCCAAGTCAGAAGAGGGGGAGTGAATTTTATCAGAGGGACACCCATATATCCTCCCTTACCCGAAGACAAGTGAATCAATTCCAGACGGCAGCCTGAGACAGGATGAAAAGCAATTTAATGTTGTTTTTCATGCTTTCAATATTCTACCCCAAAACTGAAGCTGCAAAGGCATAGCTTTAAAGTATGTATTTCTCCTCAAAACCTGCTTCTTTTTTTCCTTTCAAGAAATTAGGATTCTTGTTGGGCGCCGGCAGCTCATACCTGTAATCCTAGCTACTCAGGAGGCAGAGATCAGGAGGATCATGGTTGGAAGCCAACCTGGGCAAACAGTTCTGCAAGACCCTATCTCAAAAAACTCTTCACAAAAATTGGGCTGGTGGAGTGGCTCAAGGTGAAGGCCCTAAATTCAAACCCCAGAACCGCAAAAAAAAGAAAGAAAGAAATTAGGATTTTCTAAAAGAAATAACCTCAATTTCCCTGAGTTCATAAACCCTCAAAGCAAATGTAAGCGGTCAGAGAATGTGGCACAAACTGTCTTAGGTATTGTTATATCTGCCTCTGAGAGGCCAAGCAACTGCTGTGAAAGTTTAGTTAAGACTTCAGAGACTCTTACAGGAGGTGCATGCTCTCTTGGCCTACTCCCACCCCCATTTGCCCAGGCCCCAGGCAGAATAGCTGAAGCCCCCAAATACACACCACTAAAGACACAAGCAGATAAAATGCTATCCCAAGTCACACAGACACAAGGAAGGGGTCTGTGCAGGAAGACTGTGTGCAACCTCAGAAATTGATGCTTCCAGAAACCCCAAGCCTCCCCAGTGTCCCCTGACCCCAAGCTACCTGTTCTTAATAGTAAAACCCACATGACCTGTACACTGTGTCCTTGGGGGAATGGAAGTAGTAGCAGATGAGCTGCATAAAAAGGAATATTAACATTTACCAATCATTACTAAGCACAGCATTATACAAAGGTAGGTATCATTATTCCTATTTTACAGATAAACTGCTCAGAATATTAAAGTGACTTGTCAAGTTTCATTATGAATAGGAAGAGCAGGAGTTTGAACCCAGCCCTTCTTGGTCCCACATTTTATGCCATTCAAGAACCAAACTTCCCAAGACGGAAATAAAAGCTAATATTCCAAATTACCCAAAAGCTAGCAGGAAGAAAAGTAAGGAAGAGAAGCGGTGTCCGTACACAACCCCACATGTATTTACAATCGTCTTTCTTTCTCATACTTAGGAACGTTTCTATTCGTTAATTTGCCACAGGAAAGCTGGGAGCATCAAATCACCTTGGCTAAAAATGTGAATTCTAAAGTATTTACCATTTTACGAAATCTGTGTTGAGGGATTTGGAAGGTCCCACAGAGAAGAAACCTGCCACCGTATTTTGTTGAGAAGGAAGGAGCTTCACCATCTTTGTCATCCAAGGGACTTTTCATAGGAATTCCAAAGTCCTGGAAAAGTGAACTGCAGAGGGCAGCCCCAGACACTGAGCATTTTACAAACTTTGCTGCTGAGTTAGAAGCAGTCCCCTGGGGTTCTTTCTCAAAACAGGACAAACACAAGCATCAATGGCCACACAGGCCCCAATCCCACCCCAAGATGAAGGGGGGTGGGAATCCAAAGGGGACATAGGACTGAGCCTCAGCTGCACTGAGAATGCACAGAGGCCAAGAGAGAGGCTGCACGGGGAGAGCACCCACCCCACACATCCAGCTAGACTCCTGTCTAGCCTTTCCCATGAATGGCTCAGCTACATTTATAGGGAGAGGTTTTGGTTTCTTGAAAAAGAGGCAGAATTTCTCCCTTCTGTGCAGAAAGCAGGAGCTAGAAACACCTGCCTAACTCTGGCAGTCATCAGTTCTGCTTAGTTATCAGAACCTACCCAGTTCCACATTTAAGAAGCCGAATCATGCTTCATGCTTCCCAAAGAAGGGGCATCAGGTTTCTCTGACAGCAAAGTTCATCTCCCACTCCTGAAAAAAGGGCTGTGGTCACTGAATGAGAGGAAGCTGCCTCACTCTTTTACTTCACATTGGGAGGTTACAGGGTAGACCTTGCTTCCTAGACTTTGCCCCGTCTAAGCACAAAGCACAGGACACCACATCCCAGCAATGCAGTGACACCTCAGGATGGGGTTGCAGTAAGAGGCCTTTCAGGTCGAACTGATACCACCTTTTCTTTTCGATAAATACAAGGATGTATTTTTGGCTGAGGTTTGAACTCAGGGCCTTGAGTTTGTTTGGCAGGCACTCCACCCCCTGAACCATGATCCCAGCTTTTTGATTTTTGATGTTACCCTCAATCCTGTCCTTGCTGTACCAGGAAGCCATTTCTCCCATCTGTCTGGACAGACGATCCAATTTTGGTGCTTTTCTCACTGATGCTTTCAGCAACTTTGTTCTACTTCTCCTACTGTAATTACTTTTGAATCATCAACACACCCAGACAGCCTTAAAGCTCAGAGAACAGAATGCTAAAAATGAAAAAAAAAAAAAAAATCTGCAATGGAAAACAACTTCTCTAAAAAGCCACCCAAGCTAGAAGCAATTTGTTTCTTTCCAGAAATTGACTTAATAAACTATGTCTCACTCCTTCCCCTCTTTCTAAAGGCAGGCAGGGGTTGGGGATGGGATGTGGGGGATAGGAGGGGACTCCTGAAGGAGCTAATGAAAACATGTGCTCCCTCCCTGTCGTTTTGGTTTTTGTTTTTAAGATGCAGGTTCTGTTTGTAAAAGATGTGGAACTCAGCAAGTTGGCTTGGTTGCTGGGTGCCCAAGCAGCCTAGGAAGAAAGCCTGCCTTCTCTGGAATGCAATCAAATTACAAGGAGAGGGGAGGGAAAGGGAGGGAGAGACCCAATGGCTGCTGGCTTGAGAATTCAGATTCCTCCAGGGTAAGTTTGAAGAACAAACCACACACACAAAAGACAACAAAAGCATAACTCCAAGAAAATCCAACCAACCCCAGCAACTTGACACTGTCAGAAAGCCAGTTGCTTTGCTTTCTGCTGCCTACCACTCATCTCGGTGGAGGAAAAATGTCACTCCACACCCTGGCTTTCCTTCACTCCTGGTGGCCCCTCCACCACCAAGTCACCGAGGGAGATGCTACATGAGAGAAGGGCCTGCCAGAAAGCCCCCAGGTTGCACTTCCTAGCTTACCATTGGCCCCAAATTCTTCACCTCTGGCAGGCTCTTGGAGTCCTTTCCTGGGATGAGAGCGGGAAGAGAGTGGCAGTGAACTGTAAACACAGGCAGCCAATCCCCTTTCAACCCTCAACACAGCTGAGTAGTCAGCAGACGGGGTGAAGTTGCTGTGTCTGTCACACAGTCGGTCAGGGATGCAGCCAGGAGAGCAGGGATCCTGTCAACAGGAGGTCAGGGATGCAGAGGCCTTCTGGGGCTTGGATCTAAGTAGGGAAGTGAGTAGGCAAGGCTCCGTTCCCTCCTCAGGACAAGCTCATTTAAAGGGCCATGAATGAAAGAAGCAAACACTGCCCCCTCCCTCCACCAAGAAATTCCTGAGAGGCTGACACACCACCCCAGCTGCTTTGCCCCTGGGCAAATTGGGGGAGCTTCTAGGGAATGGGAACCCTAGGAATAAGTGACCGGCTGACTAATACTGCCAAACAGAGGGAGGTGACGACACCCAGGCCCTGCAGCTGGTGACCCACCAGGCTCTAGGCCTCAGTATATTCAATTGCAGCACAGGCCCTTCCTTTCACGCCCTGTTCGAGGGTGAGGAAGAGGGCAGAAACACTCAGGTTTTGGTCCCAAAAGTGTGCTGTCTCCCCAAGCCTCAGGACCAAGTGGCCCCAGTCCTGGGAGTTCTTTAGAAAAAAAAAAAATCGATATTAGTCTTTACTCTAGAAGGAAATTCTACCTGCTATTTTAGACATAGTCCTCAAGGCCAGAACATTGGGGTGGGGGGAATTTCGGGGCCCCCACTGTGATCGAACTAAGCGATTTCATCCTTGGGCTCCAACCTTCTCGCCCCTGCGGGAGGCATAGGCCTCACTCCACTCGGGTCCCCAAGCCACCACAGAAAGGGCCGTGACTGCCCCACCCCCGAGTCTCCACCTGACCGTCAGGAAGGCGGGGGCCGCAGCCGCTGCCCACGGAGAACTCGCACTTTTTCGCTGCGCGATTCAGAAACACGCCGGGTCTGATGCCATCCGGCGAATTATGTAACCAGGGACACCGCTCCCGGGCTAAACAAACGCGGCTCTGTGTGTGCAGCGGCGGCCCCAGGGGAGCGCACCGGGCAGGGAGGGGCTCCGGCCCGGCCTCGGGTCGGGCTTGTTTGCTCAGCGAAACCGGCGGGAGGCAGCCCCGCGAGAGCCCCGCGCCACGGAGGTCCCAGGCCTAACGCCAGGGCCCAGACCCCTCCCCCACCGCGGCCACCCCCACCAGGCGGTGAACTTGGTCCCAAGTCCCACCGGACGCCGTCACCGCCAACCGTTGGCGCGATCTTAGGATCTGGGGGCCTACGAAGTACAGAACTCCAGTCCCGGCTCTGTTCCAGCTCGGGACCCCTCGGTCCCTCTTTTCCACCCCTTCCCGCGGTCCTTGGGCAGCCGCGTGCCGCGGTGCAGGAAAGTGACGATCCATTCCCCCCCACCCACCCACCGCACTCAGAAGGGGGCGGGGGCGGGTGGGCTCGTATTTCGAGCGCGACCCCTCAGTCTCTGCGTAGGGGGGAGGGGTTGCACGACGGGGTGACAGCTGCGCGGTTGACACCCCTCCCCCTTGGGCGCAGGGGGCGGGGGCCCCGCGAGCCCCCCCACGGAGATCTGAGTACCGATAAGGACGCGGTGGCAGGTGGACCAGGGGGTCCGTTTGGAAGCGTCTGTCCTGAGCCGCGAGAGGTCAGGAGACAAGACGCGGGTTCGGAGATGTGCCAGCCCCCTCCCCGCCCGGGGGCGACGCAAAGTTTTGGGAAGTTGCTGCCCCTACCTTGCTTGGTGAGCACCAGGGCGTCTTCCCTCCGCGCCTGGGTGATGATGGAGCCGTGTTCCATCTAACAATCCCGCGGGCCCGGGCTGGCTGGGCGGGAGGACCGGCGGGCGTGCAGGGAGGTTGGGTTGTGCTGGGGGCCCTGCGCGGGAGCCCGCTCCGGCTCTGGCTCCCGAGACTCGGACTCCCACAGCTGTTCACATCCCCCCTCTTGTTTCCTCCCCGGGCCGGGAAGGAAGGCGGCCTGTACGGAGGGCGGGTGGCCCGGGCAGCGGCTCCCCGGGTGCCCCCGGCCCCGATCCCCCGGTGGCAGCTCCGGGCTCCTCAGTTTGGGTCCAACATGGAGAATCCGGAGCGAAAACAAGAGGAGGAAATGGGACACGGGGCGGTTTCCAGGCTCCCCTCTCCCCTCCGTACTCCAGATAAACAACCCGCGGCTGCGGCGCCCACCCCCGCGCGCCTCCCGGCTCTGGACCCGGCCTCTTCACCCCCTGCCGGCGCTTCCTCTTTCCCAGCCACCGTCCTAGGCCCCGGGACCCTCCACCTGTGAGCGGCCGGGGCTGCGGTCGGTCCAGAGCGTAGCTATTTTGTTACGAAAAACGAATCCCGAGGGGGGTGGGGTAGCGGGCGGGCAGGCTGGCGGGGGAGACTTGAAACCGCTCCGGCACTCCGATTGGCTCAGTTGGAGAAAAGGGGCGTGGCCCCTCCTTACTATGCGGTGCGAGGACCCAACAACATTCCAGTCGCCACGGCCACGCCCCCCGGCCACTCCCCCCCTCGCCAGGCTGCGGCCTCCTAGTCTCCTCGGCCACACCTCTTTCCCAACTACTTAAAAGGCCACTCCAAATCTCACGTTTCTCTCTTGTACTGAGGTGTTCTTGTTGCTTCGCGCGTTCTACTCCAGAAAAGCAAAATGGTTCCGCCCTTCGCGTAATCCGGGCGAGCCCTGAAGTCTAACCTGGGTCAGCCTGAGTGGCGGTGGCTCGGGGCAGTTACATTACTTCCTGCTCAGCCCCGTTTAGGTCCCACTGAGCCACATAAACGTACAACCATGAAGTCCCCAAAGGTGGGGGCAGGGAGGAGGGGGCGGACCTTATGACTCAAAGAGTGACTGAGCTGGAATTGACCTTCGGACTGTGTGACCTACACGCTTCAAATGAGACCTCAAATGCGGTGCAGGACTTTGCTGAAGCCACTCACTTATTCACATTCTGGCACTCCATCCTCCCAGCCTAGCCCCCTCCATCTCCATAGCCTCAGTTTAGGTCTCTTTCAGCTCTGTGGATTCAGGCTGCCCTGCCTAGGTTTTTAGGCCCCAGGGCACCCTCTTGGACTCCATACTCTTCTTATTTCCTTGCTCATGGTTGTAGTTGAGAGATTTCCATTTGTCTTCAAGAGGTGATTGCCTCAGAAAGGCAGGTTTCAACTAAATACCATATCTGTTTCAGTGATCTTTCTCTGTCCACAGGTAGCATGGGCTGCCTTGGGAGGAAGGGTTCAGGTCAAGGCCAGCAAGACGGTTGTAGAGAGATTGCAATGGGTGACTTCTGAGCTGTTTTCAACCCTAATATGCTGTGCTTCAATGAAGCTCACCCTGCCAAGGAAGCAACTTCCCAAAAGGTCAAAACTTTAGTCCTTGGTGGATGGGGGCAGTTGGTGGCCTTCCTGCTACAATTCCCATTGACTAACATGCATCAGGTCTTAGCAGTGGTCAGAGGACAGGTAGTATCTTCATGATAAGTACTCTCCTGTGTGCCTTGACAGTGCACACGCATGCCTGCTCCTGCTGCTCCTACACACATACACAAACCTTTTTATATAACACCATTTTAATGGAAATGCTGTTTTTCCAAAATGAAAGTGGCTGTTACAGAAGATGTGAATGATGCTTATGTAACTTTAAACACTGAGTTTGAGTAGACTAATTCATTATCAGAAGGGAAAACGGAGGAGTTCTGACATATTTGCCTCCCACCATTAAAACAATAGGATTCTCAAGGTAAATCTTCCATAGTCAGGTTGCTAGGAGGCCTTTTTTGGACTCTGCTCCTGCTCTCTTGCAAGGTAGTTCAGTTGCACTGGGAGGAGCAATGTAAGCAGGAGTGGAGGACTGAGGATTATGGGGTCTGCTCCCCCATCACCATGGGACACTACCTCTCTGCCTGCATTTCCTTGTCCAAAGATGCAGTCCCTCCCCTTTATGGTTCACAAAGTACTTTCATATGCATTATCTGTCTCATTTGATTTTTTTTTTACTACTTTGAGGTTAACAGCAGAAATTATGCCCACCTGAAGATGAAGAAAAATGGTCTGGAAAGGTTAATTGATTCATCTGAGGTCTCACAATTTATGAGGATAGAGCAGGAGCTGGGCGTGGTAGTTCATGTCTATAATTCCAGCACTCAGGAGGCTGAGGCAGGAAGATCAGAGGAGTTTGAGGCCAGCCTGTGTTACATAACAAGACCCTGTCTCAAAAAAGGGTGTGTATGTGTGTGTGTGTGTTGGGAGAGGACTAAAGTTGTCTTTAGACTTCTATTTTTATTTTTTTTGTGGTACTGGGGTTTGATCTCGGCCTTCCACTTGGCTAGGCAGGTGCTATGCCACTTGAGCCACATCACCAGCCTTTTTTTACTTCAGTTGTTTTTCAGGTAGAGTCTCCAATTTTTGATAGGAGCCAAGCTCAAACCCTGAGCCTCCTATACAGCCTTCCTCATAGATGAGGTGGCAGGCTCAGCTTACTGGTTGAGCTGGGGATCTCACTAACTTCTTGCCTAGGCTGGCCTTGAACCAAGAGTCTCCTTATCTCCACCTCTAGAGTAGCTGGGATTATGGGTATGAGCCACTGCTCCCAGCTCTTTAGACTTTTAGACTTGATAACACTTTACCATAGTTCTCTCCCTAACTGTAGGAGGGAGCCTAGTCCTTTTCTTTTCATTTTTTTTGGCAGCACTGGGGTTTTAATTCAGGGCCTCACATTTTCTAGGCAGCCACTCTAGTACTTGAGCCACTCTGCCTGCCCTGTTTTGTGTTTTTTTTTTTTTTTTTCTTTTTGTGGTACTAGGGTTTGAACTTAGTGTCTACACCTTGGGCCACTCCATCAACCAACTTTTTGTGTTGGTTTTTTCCCAGATACTCACGATCTATTTGCCCAGGGCTGGCTTTGAACCATGATTTTCCTGATCTCTTCCTCCTGAGTAGCTAGGATTATAGGCATGAGCCACCGGCACCCAACTTTTTATTGGGTATTTTTGAGACAGGGTCTCTCAAACTATTTGCCCGAGCTGGCTTCGAACTGCCAATCCTCCTGATCTCTGCCTCCTAAATGGCTAGCACTACAGGCATAGCCACTGACACCTGGCTCTGTCTTTTCTTGATAGGAATGCTGACTGCACCACTGCCACTGCCGTTGGGAAGCCTTCCAGATGCCCACTCTCATCTGAGGGTGTTGCCTACTCTCATCTACAAACTCTGCTGGAGCACCTTGTCTGGGTTTCTGAGTCTGTTTGTCTATTGGATTCCCAACTAGAAGGTACATTGAGACTGGAAACTGTCCTATTCATTATTGGATCTCTTGTGCCTAGCATAGGCCTGACACAGAATAGGTGGCTTTTGTGTGTGCTTGATGCATGTTGACCTTTGTCTTAACCAGTGTTATTTTGTCCAGGGGTTCAGCAGCCCATAGTAAGAAACACATTTTATATTGTGTGACAACTGAAAGAAAAGTTTCATGGGACGATACTTACTTACCCTCACTATGTGGCCACACTATTTCCAGCTGCATGGATTCTATTTCACCTTTATGGTGCTCTCTAAGTTGATTTCATGATCCATCTCTGGGTTGTGACCCAACATTAGAACTCAGCTTTTATCCTCTGTGTGCTATGAATGCCTTCTTGTGTAGGGCTCTGGCTATCTCTGAAGGATGCAGAGGAATGGGAAGAGCTCAATTACCTCTTGCTCTGAGGTCAAAGAAAGGGTGTGAAAGAATCTAGCAAGGAGGGGGAAGCGAGGGGAGAGGTGGATGAGGGAAGGTTCTGAGAGGCTTGGTAAGGACCCTTGTGACAGAGACTACAAAGGCAGTAGCAGGGCTGGTGATGTTGCTCAGTGGTTTAATGTGTTTGCCTAGCACGCAAGAGGCCCTTGGTTCAATCTCCAGTACCACAAAATAAATAAGTAAATAAATACATACATACATAAATACATAAATAAATAAAGACAGTGGTAGCTTTACTGGAGCCTGGAACCCCAAACACAGACAAAGGAGGTTTGCACTTTTTTTTTTTTTGGAGGTACTGGGGTTCGAATTCAGGACCTACGCCTTGAGCCAGTCCACCAGACCTTCATTGTGTTGCGTTTTTTCGAGATAGGGTTTTGAGCACTACTTGCCTGGGCTGGCTTCAAACCACGACTCTCTTGAGTAGCTAGGATTACAGGTGTGAACTACTGATGTCTGGCAAGGTTTGCACTTTTGGTGTCTAGGCTTCTCACTGTTCTGCTTTCAGGTTATTGGGTACAGGTCTCCACTCCAGAAAGCTCTCTGGGGTTTCAACAAGCCTCTTTCCTAAGTTAAGGTGGTGAGGGAGGTGGAAGGCAAGTGGCCATTCTAACTTCTGCCTTAAAACAGCCTCATAACCAACCATCTTCCTATGGGCTCTAGGCCAGACACTTTAGGTAGTCGAATTAATTTGGTTCCAGGGGGATGACCAAAGTTAGGCTTTCTAGGCTTAAACACTCACCCAAGAGAAAGCCCACTGTCTCTCTCCTTGTCACCTACCTGCTCCATGCCTTTCTCCCTGGCTCTCTGATTACAAAGTTGGTAGTGGCAGCTTGGCGGAGATTGAGGGTGGGGGTGAATTGTTAGACTGGAAGAGTTGGGGTTGGGCTCACATAGCGTGGCTGTCCCATCCTGTCCCTGTAGGGTCATAGGGTGTTCCTGAGCCAAGGGAAATGGAGCTGGAGGGGTTTCCTCTAGGGGACATGAATGCTTGCACCCAGACTGCCCTTTTCTCCACAGAATGTAAGCACTAGATGGGCCAAGAGAGACTTTTCATGACATCTCTGATGTTATTGCAATATTATATTTTTTAATTTTTTTTTATTATAAATGGACATATTCATTTTCTTGGTGTCTCAGATTGTTCCTGAACGCTCAGTTCCATTCTGCATTGTAACTGTGAAGGTGAGGTCTCAACACCAGGGTTCTGGAGCCTTGTATCCTATCAAGGATGTTCAGTGAAGTCCTGTCCTGGATTCCCAGGTTGGGGAGGAGGGAGACCAGTGACAGTTGACTGAAGCTGTGGGGGTGCCACACAGCCAAGGGAGAAGGCTGGAGAGGATGGAGGAACTAATGGAGGGAGCATACTTCTCTGTAGAGCAGTCTCACAGGACCTTCAGGCTCTGGATGATGCACTCTGCAGGTGCAGGCGTGCCCACCATCCACCACTTAGTTACCTCTTAACTCAGTTTCCCCATATGACAGTGGAAATAACAATAGTTATTTACCTACTTCATGAGTTATTATAAGGATTCAGTAAGAAAGCAGGTTTCAGACAGTATTTAGTGCCTGAAGCAATGTAAATGGTCAATAAATATTTATCATCAGCAGCAGCAGCCTTTATTCCAAATCCCTCCCTTCTGGATCCATCATCTGCCATTTCCCTAAACTAGAAACTTCAAGTGTCTCTTCCTCCCCACTCATGCCCACGTCAGTAAGTCCTGAACACTGGAGGCTTCTCACCTCCCAACTAAGTGCCAGACCCTTTCTTTCTTTCTATTCCCACTGCTGCTTTCTCGACTGGCCACAGACACCTCATCAACTTTTTTTTGGTGGTACTTGGGTTTGACCTCAGGGCCTCACACTTGCTAGGCAGGTGCTCTGTCATGTGAGCCACTCCACCAGCCCTTTTTTTGTGTTGAGTATTTTTGAGATAAGGTCTCAAACTATTTGCACCAGCTGATCTTCGATCCTTCTGATCTAAGCCACTGGTGCTTGGCCTCATCAACTTTTTCATTTCTAGGTCCCAAATCCAAATCCATCCCAACTCTCCTAGAAAATACAAATCTGATGCCATTTAGGTGGAATGATTCAGCAGTTTCCCCCAAGACTTTCAGGGCAAAGCTCAGATGCCTAGCTGGGCACCTATGGTCCCCAAGACCTGGCTTACTTTACCCCATCTCCTGTGCTTTCCCTATACTCACCTGTGCTGTTGTTAGGAGACGCTAAGTACCTGAGACTCTGCTGATACCATATGTCTCCACATCTTGGCATAGGTTAAGTCTCTCTGCCTGGATGCCCTTCCCTTCTCCATATGGTAACTCCTCACTTTGAAGATATAACTCAAGTGCCATCGCTTCCTAAACCCTCCAGGTCCCAGTAAGACTTAGGTGCTTCTTGGAGTTCTCTTACTGCATTTTCACTCTGGTTTACTGACTTCTCCCACTGCAGTGTAAGCTCCTTCCCCAGCAGGTGCTGTCATGTTTTCTGCACACCCCTCACAGAGCCTGTCCCCCACTGCTCCATTGGAAGCCAGACCCAGCGGGCACCCTCCTCCCCAGGCACTGAGCCAGGAGGCTGGGAGACAGACAACCTGCCTCCCCGCCCAGGACGCGGGAGGCCCAGCCCCAGAGCCAGCCTGTGGGCATCCTGCCCACCACTCAGGCACAGGGATTGGGAGTCAAATCTACGTTCGCTCAAGCTTTGAGAAAGGGCTCGTGGGCTGGGGCAGGCCAGAGCAGGGCTGACCCCCGATCTTCTTGGGGCGGGACCCGATCCCCTCTCTCCTCAGCCCCACTCATTGGAAGCACTGGCTCCCCCATCCCCCAGGTCCTGGGAGGCCACGTGATCCTAGCCCCCAGCAGCCACTAAACGCGGGCTCCAGCCTGCTCCTAAATAAGGAAGCGACAAAGGCCGATCGAGTTTCCCCGCGGCCGGTATTTACAGGTTTCCTGGACGAAGCCAGATCTCCCTCTTCCCTCGCTCCTCCCGGTTCGCGTGGTGGGGAAAGGAAAGAAGGGGCCCCTTCTGCGCCGCCCCCCTCCCCTCGGGTCCTGCAGCCACTCCCTCCTGCCCCGCCACTCCGCCTACCCCTCTAGGGGCACTACTTAGGTCGCTGCATTCCAAAGCCCCGGCGGCTCTTTGAGGTCACGTGGCGCGGTGGGGGTGGGGAGGCAGGACGCCCCTGACCCGGGCGGGCGACCTTGAGGCGTTCCAGTGATTGCAGATTCTGGTCCCACCTCTCCCGACCTCCCAGAAGGGGGCTTTGTATTGGCCTCGTGAACTCCGGTGTGGGGCACGGCGGGTTTTTATCCTCCGGTGTCCTGCTGTTTCCTAGCCTCTTGGACTGATCTGCACCGCCACATACCTTTCCCTTTCTCAGACTCCGGGAGTTAGGAGGGCACGCTGGCTGGAAGGGTTGCCATCTCTGCCTGCAAAATGGGCAGGGAAATAAGAAGACATGGCAGGCCAGCCATCTAATTTAGGCCGAGATCTATCCCTGTCAGGCAGGCCAAAAGTCCAGCGCCAACTAGGTAGCCTCTGTCAAGGCTGTGTCCCAAATCTCTGAGAGCTGTACTTTGAACGTGGGGACAAGGAAACCCTGAACAGATTGACTTCCTTCCAAGCTCCGCAGCTCAGTCCAATCTAGTGCAAACTCAGATAATTAGAAAACCCTGTACTGGAGCTGACCCTGGTCATAGGAAGAGGCCTGGCTTCCTTATGGCCTAGAGGCTGGAGTAAATGGATTGGGAGTTGAGCACTGGACACAGCCAAGTTGCCTGAGAAGTACTACAATCTTAAAGGAAGGAGAGTAGGCAGTAGGATGGAGAAGGGAGGTAAAGACTTTTACTATTTAGGATGGAAGGTAGACCTGTAATTTTTTGGTGAATCATCACTTATTCCAGTGTTTATTGAGTCGTGCATTCATCCAGTTGCATAATTCCTAACTTTTTTTTCTTCGGTACTGGGGCTTGAACTCAGGGCCTACACCTTGAGCTGCTCCACCAGCCCTTTTTTTGTGATGGGTTGTTTTGAGATATTTGCCCAGGGCTGACTTTGCACCACGATCTTTCTGATCCCTGCCTTCTGAGTAGCTAGGATTACAGGTGTGAGCCACCAGCACCAGCATATTCCTCACTTCTTACCATGCACCAGGCCCTATCCTGGGGCTCGAGTGAATAAGACAAGATCCCTGCCCTCATGGGGCTTGCAGTCCAGGGGAAGAGTCAAACTGAGGGACATCACAGCACTGTGTACTAAAGGCAACAGCTGGAAGTGGGGGAAGAGACACACATAGAAGAGGAGGAGCATTTAGACCAGACTGGGGGGAAGAGGGGAACAGTTGTGACGGAAATGTTACTTAAACTGAGGCCTGAAGTTCAGAGTTCATCACTTGGGGGGTGGGGAGAGGGGTTAAGGAAGGATAGCCTTTCAGGTAGAGGGACAGTGCATGTTAAGTCCCAGAGAAACGGTAGGGAAACCTAATAGGTTAGTGCAGCTACCAACTGATGGCTACCATAGGAATAGGGGAGATGGAGACATCCTATTTAAGAGAGAAAAAGGGGTGAGCTGATGAATAGTGCCCACACTGGTGGGAATGAAGATGGGGTGCCCCTGGAGTCCATTCTAAGTCCCGTAGGAATGCTGTAGGGAGGGTATGGCACCACAGCTTTATAAAATTAATGTTTATCTTATCAAGATAACACATACATATAGTTTAAAAATCAAATAGTGTTAAAAGGCTTGTATCAAAACAGAAGTCCCCCTGGCCTTTTCCCCACCCTTTATCCTAAACCCTAGGGCCACCACTTTCAACTCAGCTATTTCTTCTGGTATTTTCTTCCTTATTTCTAAATAATATATTCATCTACCTAATTTGTTGACTTGTTGTCTTGGTACAGGAGGGTTTTGAGTCTGTCCACACCCCCATTATGTTTCTGCCATAATTTAGGATTAAATCAGTGCTCAGTGGTTTTGGTTTCATTAGGGACATTGTAAATATTGTTCCTTCTTACGGCAAGTGTTCTGGTTACAATTCCTTTTCTAATATAACTTCTTGTTGTCTGCACTGTTTACATTTTCCTTTCCTTTCTTGTACAACTTTTTTGTTGTTTTTTTCTGTAGTTAATTGCCTCATTTTTTTATTTGCTTGGTTTTCTTTGAATCTCTGGCTCTGTCTTCTCACTCCCTTTAACAGTTCTGAAAAAACGCCCTCTCAGTAAGATTTTTGCATTTGGCCAAAATGATCATAAAGTCTCATCTTTTTTATCCTCCTCCCTCCCTAAGACATTTATCCTGGGGTGTTCCATCCTGGTACTTTTCTCTGGATGTGTTGCTTTCACTAGGCTTGTGGTACACCTTCATTCTGAACCTCTCATTGACAGTAGTGCAGAACTCCCTTAGTTTCCCTGACCCCCTGCTCTGGATGGAACCCAGGGCTTCACACATGCCAGGCAAGTGCTCTGCCACTGAAGTGCACTATACCCCAGCACATCTTTTCTTTCCTGGACCCAGTATTTTCTTCTTTCTTTGTTGACTTCCTTGTTTTGGTGAAGCATATCCTCCAGTAGCTTCCTGAGAAAGAGTGCCTGGGAGGTAACATTTAAAGACCTTTGCATACTTAAAACGGCTTTATTCTACCCTTATACTTGATTGATAGTTTGGGCTGGGTAAGGAATTTTAAGTTGAAAATCATTTTCTATCAGAATTTTGAAGACATTGCTTCTTTGTTTTCCAGCTTCTAATTTTACAGTTGAGAAGTTCTTACCATTTTGATTCCTGCGACTTTGAATTCACCTCCCTCCATCCCCTTGCTTCCTCTTTTGGGTTTTTTTTTTTTTTTTTTTCTTTTATCCCTCACATATTGAAATGTCAAAGTACATTGACATAAGTCATTTTTCATTCATTTTAATGGACACTTGATAGGTCCTTTTCATCTAAAACAGTGGTTCTCAAAGTATGGTTCCCAGACCCATGTGAGAACAAATTAGAAATGCAAATTCTGGGGCCAAATCCACTGAATCAGATCTTCTAGTGATTGACCCCTGCAAGCTGTGCTTTATCAAGTGCTCCTGATGATGCTAACACTTAGCAATCCCATAACAATTTATGTCCTTTAGTTCCTGGAATTAATCCTCCCTCCCTTCTTCCCTTCCTCCCTCTCTTCCTTCTTTCTTTATTCCTTCTTTCTTTTGGTGGTACTCAGAGCTTTGTGCTTGCTAGGCAGGCCAGGCTCTCTACTACTTGAACCACGCCTCCAGCTCTTTTCCTTTCTTTTTAAAAAGAGTCTCACATCCTTTGGATGTGTGCCATATCTTATCTCTCTTGAGGATGTTACCTTGAAAGCTTCTTCTGGTATTATTCCTGTTTCCTCTGATTGTGTGTTTCTCTTGCTTGATTTGGATGGTGTTGGGGTCTTTCCTCGGCTGTCTGGTGCCCTTGGCTGTCCATTCATCTCTAAGAGGGAGTACTAGAGAGCCAGATGGAGGCTATCCCTGTGGGCTAATGGTCGGGCAATGGCGTGTGTGTGTGTGTGTGTGTGTGTGTGTGTGTGTGTGTAGGTTGGATGGACCCACACTGGGGCACTTTTTCCTCTGGTGCAGTTTACTTTTCTAGAAGACCCCATTAGTGTAGTTTCCTGCTTCAAGGTTATAAGCCACCTGCCCAGGGTCTAGGGCTAGATGTGGTAGGGAAGGGGAAGGTGTGTGGCAGGAGACTGGGTAATACAGTTCAAGATGTGAACTTTCACTCACTCAGTTTTTGATCTCCTTTCTTCCACCACCACCACCCCAACCTCTGGCAAAGTCCAAAATCTCTCTGGTTCCATATCTCCAGAATGGATATTCCATTCGGCATGAGTGGGGACAGGGACACAGTAAGTTCACTGATTGTGCCAGGTATTGCTGGGTTTTTACCATCTGATTGCTCTAAAAGAGATCTTCACACTGTCCCTAGGTTTGAGGTCCTGCCTTCACCCCTGCCTTCTGGTTTGATTGCTACTTCCAGTTCCTGAGCTTTTCTGGGATCATAGGGGAAGAATCAGCTTGTGTCTTGTGGAATACGCTTTACATATTTAGGGTGTGCCTTTCCTGGGCTCTGTGAGGCCATTTTGCAACTCACCCATCCATTTTCTGTTTTCATATGTTGTGGGTCAGAGTTCTAAATGTCTCCTGGTTTGGTGGAAAGTGGACATTGGCTTTCTGATTCTTATTTTCCTTGTTGTTTTGGGGGTGGTTTTTGAGAAAGGGGGCCTTATCATGTTGCGAACAGAAATCAGGTCTTCTTGAGGACTTAC